TGATCCACGCCGCAACACGTAGATAAACCAGGTGCGCGAAGTGCTAAATAGAATTACTTCGGCTTGAAAACAAATGAGCACGGTGAAGCCATGAACACCGATGCACCACTTTGCAAACGGTGTTACAAACATGTGTGACCAAGGGTGGAAACACTTCCAACTTGACCAAAAACTTGAAGGAAAAGCACCCAGATCTGCACAGGGAGTTCAGAGAACGACAGGTTATAACTTCTATACCCATGAAAAAAAGCCACATTCAGTGCTAAAAGCAAGCGACGCCAGCCCCCTTCACTCTCCACAAAAGTAGCGCTGGAAAAAATGTAAGCCTGTCTTTGTGGTATTTTATTTTAATTACTGATGCATAATGTTATAGTTCTAAGATTTTCAATTAAAATAAAGTCAATAATTACATTTTTTGTGTTCTCTTTTTATTTGGAAAAGTACAGAAATACATGTTGGTACCGTGACAACACTAACGCATCCTCTCCTCTGGTAAACAACATGGCTGAAGGCGAAACGGAGCGGGTAGAACTGATTAAAAAGACCGGTGCAACGTCCATTATTTGGAATTGGTTCAGATTCAAACCGTCCGACCTACAGCAGAAAACCCTTATCTGTAGAGTGTGTGGGGGAACAGTTCTAGCTAAGACCGGCAACACGACAAATGCAAAATACCTGGCGCTACTCCTGAACACTGAACTCAAGCTGCCAGAGAGAACTAATCTCCAAATCCAAAGAGCCCAGATTACTTGATGGATAGTGTTAAACTTTATACACTGCGAGACCAAAGAAATAAGAAATGATTGGGAAAATAGCCTGGCAAACAGAAAACACACAGTGGGTAAACAACTCTTCTTTGACCACGACTGTGATGGAGAGGATGTTGAGAACATCAGAGTATCAGCGATACTGTTCATGAATGTTAAGCACAGAAAGGTTTGGGAGCACACTTGTATCGGAGTAATGAGACATAACTATGAACAATAATATCTAGGGTTGGGTACCGAACTCTGTTTTTTTAAGGGTACCGACCAAATTATGTCAGTACTCCCGGGTACTGATTCATGTTAACTCAATCGTTGGCAAATTTCAGTACCTGTGAGCACATCTGGATGAGAGAGTATGTATATGTGAGTGAGAATGAAAGCGATAGTATACATTAAATAAAAAGAGAGAGAGCAAGACCCTGGAACGTCATCAGGCCAAGCTCATTTCTGATCACACTAGAGTCAGAACAATGACAAGTCAATGGCATAGACACCCAGGGAGCCTTACATGGACCCAGGGAATGTCAGAGCCACAGTGGCCACAGTGCCACCAAGGCAGACACCCACATTTTGGCCCGTCTATGGCGTGGCAGTGAAATTCGATGTCTGCATACAACTTGAAATAGCTGTTACTTCAATGTTTTTGCTCCGATCACTATCAAACTTCATATGTGTCATTAAGGTTCCACCCTGAACACATCTTTATACAAATATACTATAATAGTCACAGAACCCCTGAGCTGTGACAGAAAGTACAATGTTTTATACTTTACCATGCTAGGCCTAGCTTTTTCATTTGATCCACCTCAAAATTTGTCATGGAAGCCTTGAGACACAGGCGACGCCATATTATTACACTTAAGCCTTTACATTGAACAGCAATGATGTTGGGATTACCCAATTTTATGATAACAGCAGTTTCATAATGTCACAATTTCAGTCAACTCCGCTCCCAAAACTACAACTTCCATTGGTGACCATTCACAATAAAAGTCCCAAACAGATACAGTATGATGACAGGTAACACAAATTCACCAACCAATCATCCACAATAAGGCACCTAAATAAAACAGCTTAAATAAATTATTTTAAAATAGCCAAATTGTGGCACCACCACGTGTTGCGTGCGTTTTGTGCACAGTGCGAACAATAAATGGTTCACTTCCTTCACTCCCAATCTGAGGCCAATTGGACAATGTACAGTGGAGTTAAATACAACTTCCTGTTTTATGGTGAATCAGTAGTTGGCACTATGACCCTGACTTAATTTTGACACATGGAGCTGTTCAGGCCTCATCTTTGATCAGAGGTTTTAATTTCTGTGCCGACTGGACAATGCAGAGTGGTGGTAAAAACAACTTAATTTTTATGCTGTTCAGAAGGTGGCGCTATGACCCTGAGTTAATATTGACATATTGAGCTGTTCAGGCCTGGACTCTGATCATGTGACATGGTTTTGGAGCTTATTGGACAATGCACAGTCAAGTTAAAATCTTTTCCTGTTTCACAGAGAATCACTTTGTGGCGCTTTGACCCTGAGTTACTTTTGACACATGGAGCTGTTCAGGCCACTTCTCTGATCATAGGTTTTAATTTTGGTGTAGACTGGACAATGCACAGTGGTGTTAAAAACAACCAAATTTTTTCCACCGATCAGCAGGTGGCACTATGACCCTGAGTTAATATTGACATTCAGGCTGGGACTGTGATTATAGGTTTTAATTTTGGTGCCATTTGGACAATTCACAGTAGAGTTAAATACAACTTAATTTTCATGCTGTTCAATAGGTGACGCTATGACCTTGAGTTAATATTGAAATATGGAGCTGTTCAGGCCTGGAGTATGATCATGTAACAGAATTTTGGGCTTATTGGACAATGCATAATGGAGTTACACAATGTGTAAATAGGCTAAAATGGCCACTAAATCCAAAATGGCCGAATTCCTGTTACGTTTTTTCATAATGCTTCTTAAGACTTTTTTGCTCGTCTGGTCATGATGCACGTGTGTACCGATTGTTGTGGCGCTGTTCAGCAATTTTGCTACGCTCCTTTTCAAATTACTCCATTTTTGAATTTTCTGCAAAGTTTCATGAGTTTTCGAGTTTGTTTTAGCCCATATAAAGGCAATTCATTTGCCTGAAAAATAATAATAATCACATTATTTGAGAGGCATGGCGTCAAATTTCAACAAGTCACCATTATGCATGAAAATGCTGTAACTTCAGTGTTGAGGTTGTTGTATCTCGGAGATACATGGTCCAATCTATTTCAAACTGGACATGGAGGACCAGAGTCCCGGCCTGATGACAACTACATAGCAATCATGTCTTAAAATAACAGCACCCCCTGGTGCAAACAGGAAATATCTTGTTTTTTTCACGTCATATGCTTTGATTAATTCCTCCTCTGCCAATGATCACAACCATGTCAAACTTTGTCAGAAGACATTAATGATGTATGCATATAGAAACTGTGAGTTTTTGTCAAACGCCATGTTAAAGGCGTGGCGTCAGATTTCAACAAGTCACCATGACACACAAAAATACTGTAACTTCAGTGTACATTGTTCAATCTCCCTCAAATTACATTTGTGTAACAGCAGCCGCTTCCTGTGTCTTAATTCCTGTCTTAAACTGTGCCTCCAGAACCAGTCTGAACTGGCTCAGTAAAACAGCCTTAGTTCTTCCATATAAGATGCTTGCATTTGACTGTTCTCCATCAGCACTCTGAGATCCCTGTGACTCTCAGTGTTGATCCTTTCTGCAGAAAGCCCCTAATAAAATACACAGAGATAAATTTGGTAATCCAGCCTGTAGTATTTTCAGATATCCATCACAGCCTCCTCCAACTAAACTCTACTGTGGAAAGTTAGTGATCCCGTTTGTCCCAAATTTAAATTCTTACCTGCAGTTGATTATATAAAAGGATTGTGTAGCTTATTTATGGTCATAGAACCCGAGGGGAAGTAACAGCACAAAGACCCGCTCTTTCTATCTCTCTCTCAGCCGACGTCCCTGATCGATACAGATTAAAAGTTGGTGCAGTGCACAGCATGAATTATACATAAGAGAGGAGCAGTAAAATACTGATGCCAAACATGTCCAAATATGTATGAAAAGTCCCAAATTAACACAGTAGGAGCGGTCCGTGGTCTCTGAGTCCGTAGCCAGGGACTATTTATGTTTATCTATCGCAAGTCATATCGTTATCTCAATATTCAACATTATCGCATATTTGTGTAGGAACAATATTTGGCAGTTGAAGCGAAATGTCTCACGACTCCACCTACTGAACGCCTGAATTAGTTCCTCTGGTAAAGATTTTATAGGAATAACCTAAATTCCAGGAAACCCAATTCATGCTTCTGCATCAAAGCTATGCCATAGCCTATGCATTGATGCTTACCCTTAGGTGCACCGAAATTAAACAATGCTTCAAGGCAATGCAGACCTTAAGAGCTGTTCTAAGAGACCCGCCACCATTTTTTTTATTGAGTTGAAAGATCAGGATCAAGGTTTCTTTTGTTTGTTGCAGTTTTTTAAGAAAAAGTACTTCAACATCTATCATCTCAAACACGATCTGCTTAGTAACACTCGCCATTATTCTGAAGTAAACAGGGACGCCAGAGAATTTGTAAATCAGCTGACGAGCCAGATCTCTACTACCACCAGTGTTTCGGGGTGTAATTGCAGCACGACTCATACACACCTACGCACAACTATGGGCCCTGTGCATACCTACGGTGTAGATTCGACACAGAAGTATTAATTAGGCTTATGGATGCCACAGTATACGCTGTGCATAACAACAGACCCAACAAATGAATTACTAAATTAGTGACCAACTTTTTTTATAATCAATTATAATTAATTAGTTGTTTTCAAATATTTATTCTCTGGGGGAGGGGCATGTTCCCGGATCCCCTAGTCGGCAACTTTTCCCCACTTGCTGGCAACTCAATATGATTGTGAAAGCCTCTTCAGTCTATATAATTAAATGAATTGTGATAATTGTCAATATTGACTGATATGACATTTTTTCCCCCAAATCCTTATTATGGTTTTAAAGACTGAAACTGTACAACAACCTATCAGGTTTTTTTGCCACTGTATATCATGAGAACCGTCACCATTTCATCCCTATGCATCATCAATCTGTATATGCAATCTATGGCGTGACCAGATATCTCAGGACTGATGTTGTAACATGTATGGTGCAAGTGAGTCTCACCTCCAAAAGAACATCAAAGACATCAGTTGACCACAAAGCCAACCAATCACATGGTTCCACGACTTTCTCTAGGTAGTCTGCTGTGAAGGCCTTTACCTCAGAGGGCTTACAGTCTCCTGCACACAAATATAAATTCAAAAACTCAGAGCGACAGTCTAATGTATAAATAAAGAGCATAATTATAAATTGGTGTTTGAGTCAGACATGATGACATGTACTGTATGTGCCTTTACCAAGCATGTAGTCCTGATATGCCTTAAACCTCTCATAGAAGAGCAGGTGGCTTGTCTGAAAGGTGTCGGGAAGACTTGAAGCCTCTCCTCCATGATGTTCACGTCTCTGCAGCGTAGTGCCTGAATTTTCAATGTCAGAATTGTCTGTGCCACTGTCATCATTATCACGCTCATCTTCACCATCCTCATCATTCTGAAATAGAGCTGTTGTGGGAAATAAAAAAATCAATCGATCCAACTTTATTAGTATAGCCCAAATTCAAAAATCACAATTTGTCTCAACAAGAGTAAGGCAAAACAAACAACAAAAACAACCTAATTACGTTTTCTTTCAACAGGATAGCTATCCTGACAAAGTTAAACTCACAATCTGCTGAACACTGTTAAATTAACCCTAACCCTGAAAATCTAAAACAGGGTTTTTCCTGCATAGAGAAATGGAAGACAAAATTCAAGTACATTAGAAATTAGAAAATTAGAATAATTGTAATGTGTTGATAATTTAGTTTGTTGTGTTTTAATTAATACTCAAAAACTGTACCAAACTGTACTGTAAAGCGCTTTGAGTGGTCCTCTGGACTAGAAAAGCACTATACAAATACAGACCATTTACCATAAAGTGACTGTACCAGTTTGTTAAATAAAATACAATTATCTGAATAATTGTCATTTTCGTAAATTAAAACTTAAGTTAATGTTACTTCAAGAAATACTACACTTAAATACTACTTAGTTAACATTATTCCAGGGGATGGTAACTTGAAGTAAATGACATAAAACACTGCATAGACCTACCAAATACTGTTTTTTGTCGTTTGCGTCTTGGACATTGTGTGCAGAGGGCAGTTGAGCAACTTTATGTTCATCGTTGCTGGTTTCCTTACCTTTTTAATAAAAAAGCTGATGTGTCTTAATAGTAATAAGGTCGTTGTGCGTCCATGATCAACCGGATATTGCAATGACATTAAATCATTGGTCCGGGCTGTTAAGGAGGCAATAGGATCTTCAATCATAGGTTCACAGCTTTTCAGATTAAAAGCGATGTAACACAGCTCGCAACATTGCACTCAAGCCAAAAAACGAACGTTGTGCTTTTACTTTGCAAACTAATGAATTAAGAGGAAGTGATTCTACGTATGTTGCTGCCATGATGGAGATTGGCACTCATGCCTCTCCTAAATGTTTGTCAGTTAGATATTGTTATTGTTCAAGCTGGGTGCCGTTATTAATGATCTAAATTATCTGTTCCGATCTTGTTGACATTCGCAGACAACTTTTATAGGCTAACGGATAAACAAAACAACGTTATCAGAAATCAGAAATACTTTATTGATCACAGGGGGAAATTGTGTTTGTTACAATTGCACTATGCAAGAGTAGAAATATAAGCATGCAAGATTAAAAATAAATATAACATTAAATTGAATAAAAAATAAATTAAATATGAAATATATACAATATGTGCGTACTGTACATTAAATATTTAGTGCAAGCATAGATATGAATTGTAATGACTCCACTCTGTTGACTCAGAGTGTCTGACACTCAGTGGGAGTTGTTTAGTTGGATGGCCACAGGCAGGAATGACTTCCTGTGGCGCTCTGTAAGTGAACATATTACATTAAGTACCCCGTGTTACATTTTTTTTCAACAGGTTATTGCTGACACAAACCTTGAGTTGAGGCCGACACACAATTTTCTCCTCCAGAAATGTTATTGTTGTTTTCCACGTCGTCAAGATCAACGTGAACGAACGACGAAAAATCTGCCCCCAGCCCGTCCGAAATCGTGTTTACGGTTTCCATCCTTATACAAAACGTGGTTTCCCGTGATTCCAGCTCTATGAAGAGTTTAAAGGAGCTAATGAGTATATATTTTGTACTATATAATTATTGTATCATTAAGGACTGGACCCCTGAGATACAGTGGCCATTCGGTTTAACAAATGAATTTAAACGGTAGGGTATACGCCCTTTTCCTTTCAAATTATTCCCGGTCTGCATATCCGAAACCAATCACAACTCACAATCCGCCGGCTGTTCCGCCCCTGATGACAGTTAAAGACGTCTGAACCAATGAGATAGGTGTTGAGCATGGGCAGAACAAGACACATGATGCGTCAAACCAATCAGAGAGCTATTTCTCTCGAACAGAATGTATCTGTGGAAACCTATGGATGCAACCCTTCAAAAACATCACAGAGAATATTTCCCTGTGTTACTGGTTGGTGTTAATA